AATACGTATCGAACCCCGTTACTCATCCCGAATACATTTCAGGATGTGTGCCGGGGAAGAGGATGAGCAAAGGCCTGCCTTCCTGAAGCTTACGCTCACAGGGAAGGTGTCCCATAAACCAAAAAACACACATGGAGCATGTCATGTCCCCGTGTGGAGAGAGCCACCGGGCACAGGGGGCCGGGAAGGACTGGATTTGCCAGTGTCCTGCTTGGGGAAGGCCTCTCTTGGGGCTTCCTCCTTTGGCTTCTGGAGTCTAAAGCTTCCTGGTGTCGCTTCTACCTGCCTAGCAGAACCGCTCAACATGGTTCCCCATTTAAGGCAGCAGGGATGAGCTATATGGATGCTGCCGATGCTAGTGTGACCACTTTGATCCCTGTCCACTGATGTGGCACCTCCAGGGCGCTTACGGAATGAAGGGGGAGTGTGATCAGTAGCACCATCACTTAGGAGGTGTGTCCCCTGGGGAGAGCCGGGTTTTAGCGAGTGCAAGGTAAAGCAGGCCTTCCAGAGTGAGATCGCTGGTGCAAGGGAGCTCATGCGGACAGACCAAAATTCCGACGAAGAGGAGTGCGTGAGGTGGAAGACGAGAAGCCCTGGGTGGGACACTGCAGGCTTTCCCACTGTTGGTATTCGAGGTGTTTGAGACTGTTCGTGCCGCCTCCACCACCCCCAGTTTGATACCCAGAAACGACTCCAGCCATTGCCAGCGGTCCTGGGTGGGGGCTTCTAAGTGAGAACCGGTGGATCTGTGGGAATCCAGAGTCCCCTGCGGCCGGAAGTGCTGGTGTGGAAGGACGCGAAAGGGAAATGCTGACGGGTTGGCTGTGGCCGTCTCTTAGGGGAAGGTGGGTGGTGTTATTTCTGAGTGCTGCCTCCTTCCCAAGACTGCCATTTAGCTGCTTCCTCCAGGTGAGTCTGGGATTCTCCCTGAATTATAAATATTCCAAGATATGGAGAAAGCTTGGAAATGAGAGGGCCCTGTCCCTGTCAACTATTTTGCAAAAAGTTCCCACAGCTAAAAGTGGGGGAGGGGCCCAGAAACAGACATGCCATTTTGCTTTCCAGAAACAGGATTTCTGAGCTAGGTACCAGTGAGTCTGGTCTCACCCAGGTGGGATTCTGAATTTGATTGTGAAAGGGGTGCTTTGTGTGCACACAGAAAAGGAAACAGATGTATTTGAACAGGGATAGTTTATTTAAGAGAATGGGTAGACATCAGATAGATGTCCCTGTATTGTTAAGTTGTCAAAAATATGTGAGTTGGGTACCCATATAGTCCTCGGCAGAGTATTTGAAGAGATTGTTCCTTGGTCTCTTCACAAGCCAGTTGAAAGATGTGTGAGCCAAGCACAAAGACAGCGTGATTCATTTGGGCTGAGTGGTCACTCGTAGACTCTTCCAGGAGCGGATTGGAGCATCTGGAGTTGCAGGCTCTATCTTGACTCCACCCTGTTCATCTTTTTCATGGACGTGGATGAATATACGGAAGTAGATGCTCAGAACAGCCAAACATAACTAAGACAATTGTGACGAGTAACAACGTATAGACTTAGAACACAGAGACAGACTGACAAAGTGGTGGCCTGGAACAGAGAGCCACGCGGGAGACCCACCAGTGCCTGTGTGGGAAGCCTGCCGTGTGAACGATATGGCTAATATGTGTGTCCTGAGTGTCTTAGAAATACTGGTCTACACCTGTAAAAACAACCACTCGATACCAGGAGAGAGTTCATGCCCTAATACACCTACTGTGGGCTCAGCACCGCACAAGTCACCAAAGGGGAGGTGAGCACTGGTGGTGGCCTGGGCGCAGGCATGCTCGTTACATTTGGATAAGCGACTGGCAGCCACGTGCAGAGAAGGTCCCAACTGTGTACTTCATAGGAGTTTAGAGATGGGAAATGTAACTTTGGGAGAGAGTGTTACAAACCCAGAGTGACAGAAGGAAGGGCACACCGTTGGGGATGAACATGGCCTGTCAAATTGAGAGGACGCCCAAGGGACAGAGTAAAAAAAAATACGATTTTAATAGAATAATATTACCTAATAGTGGCCCCGACAGCAGCGGAGAGCTGTGTTTGCCTGTTCTGCTTCTCTGCCTGCAGTACGAGGGTGGAGCCCTCTGAGGACAAAGACCGTCAGGGTGACCATTGTTTTTCAAGACCAGGCACCACACCTGGCAGAGTGGGCTCCTAACTCTGAGTATTCGCTATTGAGACTGTGGCTTCAAGGGTTAAGGAAATCACCCTTTAAGGAATAATGGGGTTAAGGAAAGGTCTAGGAAAGTGAGTATGAAAGATCTCTGGACCTCTGAGGACAAAGGAAGCAGTGGAGAGGGAGGAATGAGTGGGAGTGACCTGGCCAGGACACCTGAGGATGAAAGGTGGGACCAGGACAAGCTAGGAAGGTTCCTTTAGCAAGAGAGGGGAACCCGTTCCTCTAGGGATGGAGAGAGGGGAGCCCCCGTTCCTCTGGGGATGGAGAGAGGGGAGCCCCCGTTCCTCTGGGGATGGAGAGAGGGGAGCCCCCGTTCCTCTGGGGATGGAGAGAGGGGAGCCCCCGTTCCTCTGGGGATGGAGAGAGGGGAACCCATTCCTCTAGGGATGGAGAGGGGTGCCCCCGTTCCTCTGGAGATGGAGAGAGAAGAGCAGGTTCCTCTGGGGATGGTGAGGGCAAAAAGACTGCTATAGGAGCCGTGATGGTGAAGTCACAACAGAGGTGCCCCAGGAAGCTGACGGCCAGATTGCTTCCATTGACGTTACCTCCCACCTACTGCCAGGGGACAGTGACCTGTTCATGTGCCTCTGCATCTAAGGATGTGTGTGCATAGGGAGCACCTCCTGCCTGGTAGAGGGAAAGTCGCTGAGACATCAAATGGCCACGTTTCCTGCAACTCCTTAAAGTGGTTAAGGGTGCTTCCGCCTTTTGTGGGTGAGGGTCCACCCACAGGGAGTGCACACGGTTGACACAATTGCAGAGGTCTCCTGCCATCCAGTGTTGCCTGGGCTGTCCTGCAGGAGCCCTGGGGGGCCCTTCACCCCCTTCGAAGAGGGCGCCCCACAGCCCTCTTCTTCCACGTATGATGGGTGCGTGCAGTGAAGGCTGAGCCTTCCAACCGTGCAGCCAGGCGCCTCTGCCTTGGGACGGCCAGGAGCATGCATCGGGGCGTTCTCGGGACCACATGTGTTTCTCAGATACCTTAAATTATATGTTTTTACATTTCTCAGCATATGCTAACATTGCCTAGAACTTCACAAAATAAAAATGTTTTCAGTCCATTTTGATTTCCAGTATCTTTGTAAACCCTGCAGTGGCTCCCATTTCCCGCAGAGCACAGGCGAGGGTCTCCACGGTGGCCTGCGAGCCCCTCCTGTCCAGTGCCACCTTCCATAGGCCTCTCCTACCCACATCGGCCACTGCCACTCTGGCCCCAGCTCCATTTCTGGAACATACCAGGCTGTCTCCTTACAGCCAATCTCTGGCTGTTTCTCTGCCTTCATTACCTTCTCACTCCTCTGCCGTTGTCAAGTCTTGACTCAGTGTCCCCTGCTCATCGAGGCCTGCCCCAGCTACCCTATTTTAGATGACACCCTCATCACTGCCACTTCTCTCCAACTTCCCCACCTGCATGCCTGGCATTCCATTCTGTCTTTCCCATGACTCTTACCAGCTTCCGATGGACTCTTGGTTCTGACCTGGCTGCCACGTCACTGTTGCTCCACTTTAAGAGTTGCCATTGGGGCAGGAATGTCTGTCTGTTTCTCCTCAATCAGTGGTGGGTGCCAAGCATCTCAAAAGCCACTGGCCCACAGTCAGTGCACAAAAAATAGCATCCGAAGGGGCTGAGTGCACGGCTCACGCCTGTAATCCCAGCACTTTGGGAGGCCGAGGCAGGTGGATCATGAGGTCAAGAGATCGAGACCATCCTGGCCAACATGGTGAAACCCCGTCTCTAGTAAAAATACAAAAATAGCTGGGCATGGTGGTGCATACCTGTAGTCCCAACTGCTTGGGAGGCTGAGGCAGGAGACTCACTTGAACCTGGGAGGTGGAGGTTGCGGTGAGCCGAGATGACATCACTGCACTCCAGCCCGGATGACAGCGCAGCTGCGTGGGGCGTGGGTGCAGCGTGCTGCACAGAACTCTGACTTTGGGCTTAAAAATGCTGAATTGTGGAATAAAAACTTTTCAAGACTCGAGGCAGGCACCACCTATTTTTCCTGCACTTTTTCCGTGCACTGTTCCACCCTGGTTGAATTATATGTGTTTCTGGTCATTTCGTACTCCTCCGGCCTTCTCTTTGATAAAGATACAAAGGGACTTAATACATGGAGAGCTTCACTTGTAGTGAATAATCACCTGTGCTGGTTTCGAAACTTTTCTGAGTAGCTTCAATGAATCAAAAATTGGCAAGCCTGCTGTATCGACTTCCAAACACTGTTGCTGGACATTGGGGAGAGAGAGAAAAAATAGCATAGAATTTTTCACTAATAATAAAACAGGATGAAGTTACAGTCATCTGTGGTATTGAGGCCAGAAGAAAGAATCAGGAATTCCTTATCCTGTGCACCCACAGGAATCAAACCCATTTAAGTTGGGATTTCCAAATGTATTCTTCAATGCATTCTTTTCATTTCTAATATATCAAGGTGATTCTAAGAAGAGAAAGATAACTAAAAAGCGTAAACTCACCCCCTCCCTTTTGCAGAGCTCCAGTCATGCAAAGGAGAGAAGGAGAAATTATCTATGGCATGATAGTGATAGAAAAATAAGTGTGTGTTTTTAGGGAGCGGGTGGCACAGTAGAGCACGGGGGGTTGAGCCCACCTCACCCCGAGCCTCCGGGCCTCCAGCCCACCAGCACGGTGATGGGATGTTGCCTGCGGGGCTCCATGCAATACGGGAGGGGCGTGGCTGTGCCCTTTCTGCCTAGTCTACTTTGTAAGTGCTCACCATCTGCATTTTTTTTTCTTTTTGCTTTTTCCGGTCCAATGGCAGACACAGGGCTGGGTGACTCCGTATGCTCCAGCCCCAGTATCTCCAGCACCACCAGCCCCAAGCTCGACCCGCCCCCCTCCCCTCACGCCAACAGAAAGAAGCACCGAAGGAAGAAAAGCACCAGCAACTTCAAAGCCGATGGCCTGTCCGGCACTGCTGAAGGTAAGGGCTCCAGGGTGGGAATCTCCACTTCGGAAAATGCTTTGTTATTTTTCAAATGTGTGAAATTAGACACCCTAAGAAGCACAAATGCGCAGTATTGCTGGTCGCCACCTGTGCTTTCTGTTTGCGAGGTGGTACTAGAGGGCCCTTGGGACCTTCTCATCACCATCTGATTCTCAAATGACTCAACCAAATCCGCCGTCTCACTCCTGGCCGCTGTCACGGTGGCTGGTAGGAGTGCTGGTCTCCCGGCCATGAGCCTGATCCGGTTCTGAGGTCTCGCCCTACCCTGGCAGCCTGGGCGAGTGTCCTCTCTAGCCAAAGTGGGCCATGCTGTGTGACTCTGCTGCGGACGCTGCCCACTTCTAGTTTAGGAGTCTTCTCTGATATTGGCTACTCTTTAACCAGACACCTGCCTTGATTTCAGCTTTTAGCAATGTGTTATGCTAAACGCCTCTTTTGCTAACGTCTATCAACTCTTTCTGGAATGTGCACTCTGTTAATATTCCAGTTGTCACAGCTCCTCATGAGTCTCCTTTCACCTGAGTCCTTCCTTAGTTTTTATTGCCACTGATGGCTGGATGTGAGCGTCCTGAAGTGGCTCCTTCAAATGAATTCCCCTTTTTTAATTTCCATAGATGGAAGCAGAGATACGTGAGTGCACACGTACACACGTACACCACATTATGAGAGGTAAAATTAATGCAGTTGTAACAAACAAAGGAGCACTTGAAAGGAAAATCAAAGTTTCCGAACCTCGTCATAACATGAATTGTTAACCGTGAGGCCGACAAGAGTAAGAGTCTGTCTTCAGCAAGGGTCTCGTGCACCCGGGCGTCACCTGCATGGCCTCCGCCCTTTCTCTTTCTCTATGGCTGCCATGCTTTTTCCAGACACTCTGCCAGTTTGAGTGTTCAGACCGGTGAGCTGTCAGCTGGTGGCCACGTTAGAGAGAGTGCCCCATGCCTTCCACATATCCAGAGTGGAGTGTGTGAACCCAGGGTGTATGTGTCAGCAGGGAAGGGGTGGAGCAGGGGGTGTGCCTTGTGTTTCTGTAACGCCTGAGGTGGGAGCAACGTTTCTTTCATCATGAGGAAGCTGAGGTTTGGAGCTCTGAGTAGCCCGCCAGCCTCCCCAGAAGGGTTAGAAGCGTTTCTCCTTCAGCACATTTCTTCCTGTTTTGCCTTCTAAGCTTCCTGTTAACATATGTAGCCAATAAAAACCGATTTTTCGGCCAGGCACGGTGGCTCATGCCTGTAATCCCAGCACTTTGGGAGGCTGAGGCGGGAGGGTCACCTGAAGTCAGGAGTTCAAGATCAGCCTGGCCATCATGGTGAAACTCCATTTCTACTAAAAATACAAAAATCAGCTGGGTGTGGTTTCAGGCACACGCCTGTAATCCCAGCTACTTGGGAGGCCGAGGCAGGAGAATTGCTTGAACCAGGAGGCAGAGGTTGCAGTGAACCCAGACTGCACCACTGCACTCCAACCTGGGCAACAGAGTAAGACCCTGTCTCAAAAAAAAAACTATTTTTCTCATGTTGTGGTAAGTGAGGACAATTCCACTAAGTCAGCAATGGTGGAAAATAATGAAATAATAAGTCTGAGAAGCCACGGAGGCCACTGACATTCCCACTGAAAAAGGATTCAGCCACAAGTGCTTTATGTTGATAAGATTCCATCAACCATTTGGCAAAAATTACCTGCCAAGCACATGCAGCCACGCCTCCCTGATTGGGAAGAAAGTTAGCCTCTCCAGGGTGGGCAGCCTGTGCCCTCCACCCTGCCAAGCTGCCCACACAGGGGTGGGGGCCAGATTCCCTTTAGGGACAGGCCATGCGCTCATTTTCACAGGTACATGTCTTCTTGCGTTTGTGTTTCCAGCCGAGGTCTGTGACTTTTTTTATACACAACCTGGTAGGAACTGACTGTTACCACTTACATGCACGTTCATGATCCCACCCACCTGTTGACTGCTGCGTGAGCGAGTTGGTATGGGGAGGTCCTGCCATGGATGAGTGGCATTTCTGCACGTTTAACTGAGCAGCTGGTACTACCCTGTGTTCCGATCAGCACCGGTGAGCCTGAAGGAAGTTTGACAAGTGACCGTGAGCATGTTGGACACCTGATGTTTCAGGTCCACTTCCTGAGTGAATGGGACTATACGTGGGTGCCAGGCAGTAGTGGACAGCCAGGCTGAGATGCAGGCTCTGTCCAGGCAGCCACCGTGGGCCTCTTTCCTTAAAGGGGTGACACCAGTAGAAAGATTTCAGGCACCATGGAAACTCCCAGATGAGGAAATCACAAGAGTGTCTCAAACATGGATGTGTAAGTGGGCGGCCTGTGTTCAGAAGCCCAAGGCGGAAGTTTCCCGGGAGCCGCCTCACGCTCTGCGTAGGGAGGCAGTTCTCTACGTCAGCGGCTATGACATCTTTCCTGTAGAAAATAAGCCATAAGTTACTTATAAAATGTATCATTTTTCCCTAGGAAAAGACTACACAAGTCATTTTTGTGAAACAATCTATATTTCACTTTTTGAAAGCCAAATTCTTCTCCCAAATTGTAACATCTCTAAAGTCAGGACACATCATTTTAGATTCATTTAAATATTTTTAGACTAATTTAGATATTTTTAAGATTTATTTACTATTGCATTTTTATATATAATTTTATAGTGAATATAGATATATTTACTGTACTTTTATTTACTGTTAGTTCCTTGAAAGTACATTGTGTAAACCATCCAAATTAAACATTCTGTTCTTGAAATTAAAGCTAGCTATATATGTTTTATTTTACTTACTTATTTACTTACTGTATTTTTGAGACAGGGTCTCACTCTGTCACCCAGGCTGGAGTGCAGTGGTGCAGTCATGGCTCACTGCAGCCTTGACCAGGTTCAAGTGATCTTCCCACCTCAGCCTCACAAGTAGCTGGGACCACAGGCAGGCACCATGATGCCTGGCTAATTTTTTTTGGTTTTTTGTATTTTTATAGAAACAGAGTTTCACTCGGTTTTGCCTAGGATGGTCTTGAACTCCTGGGCTCAAGCAATTCTCCTGCCTCAGCCTCACAAAGTGCTGGGACTATGGGCGTGAGCCACCACTCCCAGCCTGTATTTTATGTTTTCAGAATACTATTCAATGATAGGAAACCATTTCTACTCCTCTTTTCTGCAAGGCTCTGTGACTGGTTACACTAGCATATTCTCTGTCACCTGACCAAGTGCTGAAAAGTTGGAATTGCAGATATAAAACATTCTGTAGAAGATATGTGTAAAGTAGTTGAATTTTATGGCTTTTTTAGCATTCCTATTGGAACAAATAACTAGATTCAATCTCTTCAGGGTGTAAGAAAAAATTCCATTGAAGTTAGCAAATTCGTCTGGGTCCTTTGAATCCATTGGTCAATAGAATCCATTGAAGTCAGCTGATTCATCAGAAACGAGATGGGGCTTGCAGGCCGGCTCACTGAGGGGAGTTCCCGTGGGACTGTCTGCAGAAGTGCAGGGAGAGCGATGTGTGTGGTGTAGAACTGGGGTGTAATGGGGTGAAGAGAGGGCAACCGTTTGGGAAAGCGTCCAGCTAGGAGCTGTGGCCTTCCAGAGAGACATGTCTAGCCGTGGTGACAGGGAAGGCGAGGGTGACCTCACCCTTCTCTGTCCCACTGGTTTCCAGTGGCTCCTCCTTGACCGGATCCAACCAGAAGCCAAAAGGCCTGAGAGCCCACGGATGCCAGCCACACAGTTGGCTCCCAGGGCCAAGACAGAGCCAACAGGAGCCGTAGTGTCCGTGCCTTTCACAGCACCTCCTGCAAGCCCCTGAAGCCCGTGTCATGCCACTCTGCTGGTGTTCTGCCAGCACAGGAAACTAGGGCAGGGGTGTGTGCTACCGCCATCATCCCCCAGGGTCTGGCCTTACCCCGACCCAGGGAACCCTTGCAGCTTCCTGAAGGGACCTCAGCGCCCTTCTCCAGCTGGGTGCGACAAGGACCCTGCTAGAAGGTCTTCCTAGACTCCCAACCAAGCACAGAGGTTCTGACCCTGGCCATTTCTTACCTCTGTGGCGCGCTTATTCAGAAAGTAAAGGCTAAAAGTAGGAATCATCAGTATTTGCTGCTGCAAACCCGGAAACACTGTGTCCACACGGGCTTCTGGGTGACCAATGGAAGTAGGGCCGCCCCTGCCCTTGAGTTTCCCCCTGTGCTGGTCCTTGCTGGGCGCTTTTTGCTGAAGAACAGCCGCTACATTGTGCACCAGATGGCAGAGGGTGTGAAACCTCAGCTTAGGGAGAGCATCTCTTTTCTTAACATTTACAATTTAGAATGGATTGGATGAATCTGGAAAGTTACAGCAGCAGAGACTGTGACTGGAGAACCCCTTACCTTTTTGTGTCTTATTTCGGGCTGTCAGGATTAACAGGAGGTGTGTGGATGACAGAGCCCGTCACTGGGCCCTTGTGTCACACATGGGCTGCATGCTGCATGATCCTTGCAGACCAGTAGAAGGAAATTGAGATGTGACTGGACAGGATGGCGACGGGGCCCGAAGCCCGTGAGTGGAGGGAACGGGAAGTCACCAGGGAGAGAAGGGTGGTGATGAGGACAAGTGCCAAGAGGCATGATGACTGGGATTGGCTGGTGGAAGGTCTGCCGAGCAAGGGGAGGTCCCAGCTTGTCCTGGATGGCCCAGGTGGCAATCATGGGACTTGACAGGTAGAAGTCTCCAGGAGATGGACTTTGGTTCTGATGCTTAAAGCTCTAGGAAAGGCTGTAGGAACTGGGGCCACCTGAGAGGGAGTGACCCCGACCCTGCATGGGGTCAGCATGGGTTGGACCACGGTAGAGGAGCCCGAGCTCTGGAAGGTGACTGCACAACAGCCCTGGATTCCCGGCCAGGTCCAAGTTTCAGGGTGTGTGCCAGGGAAAAGCGCCTGGGCAGTGGGATTTTTCCAGATCTTTAATGCCTTGTCACCTCTTGGCATTGTCTTTGAATTACAATA